GGCGTGGTGTGTAAACATCGCCACTGGGGAGACAAAGGTGGTCAGGCGTGGTGCTGGCCACCCACCCCCTCGTGGTGCCGTACCGGCCTTCATTGGTGCTCGCTAACAGCACTTGCCCCAAGAGTCTGTTCGGCTATATGGGGTATCTTTTTCTGTGTTTACATGCATATGGATGCACATGGCCAACACGTTTTGTGTTCACATGCTAAAGAAAAACCTGAATAGCCACTATCAGTGTCCTATCTCGGCGCCTATCACAGCATGAGGTGCTGGAGGTAGTGTAGGGTTTTACTCGACCTTACATAAAAAAGAGAATACCCGCTGAGTTGGGTGAAGCAGCAGACATGGGTGATACAAAGGCGGCCAGACATGAGCCAACCCCAACCCACCTCGTGTGTCACCCTGCCCTGAATAGGTGCTCGCTAACAGCACGCTGTCGAAGGGGATGGATATGGGATCAAAATCCCACCTGCATTCGTAAAATTATCACTGCCCTTACAAACATACATGAAGTAGGCCGACGTTTTAGTCAATTTCGCCTACACGGAAGTGCGGTAGGGGGGTGTGTGGAGCGTTACATCCCTTCACTCACATCACGAGTATATTTGGTAATTATTCGCTTCATTCTTATAGCACGAGGCCACCTCTCAGGTGCTAACATAGCATTTGGCCTCCTCTCTGTGAAGAGGTGGGGACACCCACACTTTCCGCCACCACACGCGACCTGCCGATAATATTAACAGCGGCATACTTATTTACACTGCTGGGTCTACCCATGGAATACCGTTAACAGTTCTGTATATGGAAATCCTTAATTCAAGCGGCAGTTTTCTCAGAGCCCCACGGTGTAATAAAGTGTGATCTTCGACTCTAAAGTCTTTTCATCTCTCCTGGCCTCCCTCTGTGCTCTGAAGAAGACCCATTGCCCAAAACGTCAGCCCGTTCTAACCGGTTTCTGTAAACAAGGAAAGCGCTCGTGCTGAGTAAGTGGAGGTCGTGGGTTCGAGCCCGATCCTGACGCCTGCTGCTGTATATTTGGAGTTTGCCTTGTCTCTCTCCCCGTGGTCAAGCGGATTTTTCTCCGGATCCTCCGTTTTTTCCCTCCCCATTTAGAATCATCACGCATTCAGAGTATTTGGCTACTATACATTTCCACGTGATAAGCCACTTGTTTGAGCTATCATTTGTGATAGCCAGGTCCCTTCTGAATAACAACCTCTACAGCTCGGTGCAGCACACCTGGTAAAATAAAAACAAATCGTTTACATTTTTCGATTTAAAGCTTTCGTGACTGCAAGGATTCATCTTCTTTGGTTCTTTCGGTAAAGTCACGTAGAATATTCTCACGACGTTTCGTGAGAATATTATTGTGTTATTTTATTTTATCAATTTATTATTTTATTCTCATTCTACGTGACTTTACCGAAAGAACCAAAGAAGATAAATCGTTTACAATTTGGGACGATTCCCTTAATGAGCAAGCATGGCACTTCGGCGGTGCGTTTCGATGTGACATCTGCTGGGCGGGTTCCATTGTGTCTTGGGAGTTGCCAACAATGAGACCCATCATCTCCCCGCACTCTTAACCCAACCACCCCACCCACCCCGCACGGAGTAGCAGCCCCGGGGGGCGTGGGAGGCTTCGAAGAGATTTGCAAATCAAAGGGAGGCTACTCGTAGCCAGACCCATTTTGTTACAAAAAAATGTCTTGCCACTCCCCAGCGACTGTCAGCCCTGAAAGTAATCAATACAGCAAAACACTAAACAAACTATGTGTGGGTAGTGGCGATTGCAATTCTGATGGTATCAACATCAGTCACAGATGCCCGTACTGGACATCTGTGAAAAAAGAGCCTCATAGCTCATCAGATTTCTCCAGTCTAAATATTCTGATCTGGTTCTGATTCAGAGTACAATCATGGGTAAAGGCGCAGCCCTGCAAGAGCTTGCTGTCATCACCGCTGGCGGATTCAGGGCCTCCCAGCTAAAGGGAGGTCTAGTGAGCAACTCTTTTTAAAAAGAGGCTTATATCGATATGCAGCTACACGTTGGACATATACGTCTTTGAATAATATGGAATACCCACACTTTCCCCCCCCCCAAAATGTCCACTTTGGCCCACTGTTGGGTGGACACTGGGGGAGTGTTAAGAATCTTCCACAGTTTGTGTTTGACGATGGCCATGTTTGAGTGATGGCTATGCAGGAACAAACACACGCAGACGAGTGTAGTTTTAAATGTCCTGTTAAAATTGCTCATGGCGGAGCTCGCTAAGAACTGTTATCCCACGTGGCAATCGCTGCAGAAAACTACCGGTGGAAAACAACAACTTCTAAACACATTTGGAAGAGTGGAAAAGTTCTGCAGCTTAGTTGACACAGATAAAAACCCATAGAGACGCAACAGTGCTAATTCAATCTGGCTGAAAAAACACATGCAGTGTAACTTGTATTGACCAAACATCCCAATACTGAAAACATAACCTGCAAATTACTTTATTGGGATTGCACATGGAAACATCGCCCCCCTCCTCCTGTAAAAAATTGGCAGGAACTTCCTTTGTGAGACTCGCTGAATCTCGAGAAGAGTCTTGAGATTCGGTGAGGCGTCGTGAGACTCGCTAAAAGTCACCCATCGCTTTCTGGTAAATATGCGTAATAATAAATACGCGAATAAAGAGTTTTGTGTTGAAAACCGAACAAAAATATTGAGAAGAAAATACAGATCCGAGTTACAAGGTGCTGATCAACGCGAATAAGAATGCAGCCAGGGCGACGGGATGCGGCTCTGCGAACTCGACAACTCCGCAGCGAGGCAACGTTACAGTGATTATGCTGCCCCTGAGTGCCGACTGCTGAGAGGAGCCAGCGAGGGGATTTGAGAACGGCCGTGCGATACCTTGGCACCTCCTACCCCCGTGGCGGATGTGCCCATCACAGGCGGTGATGTAGGTTGGCTTGTCCATTGTGGCCGATGTCAGTGTTGTCAAAGCAATGGGGTTTGGGTCCCCTTTCTCAAATGAGCATGGGTCTGCGCTCAGACGGGTGGCGACCAACAAACACTTGTTCCAGGACCGCCGATGGAGATCGGCGCAGGCTGGGGGTTGGCCACCTTTTCCAGAGTTCGTAGATCAAAGCCATGTACATTTCTCATTCGGCACTAGGGGGGGTCTATTAGCAAAACTGTGCAGTTTACTGCAAGAAAGTTCAACACAGCAAATAGCGGTACCCGATCTTTGTACAAATGAAATCCGTGCCACTTGAGCAAAGAAACCAATTCCTGGACTGGCTGGGTTAAAAATCCCAGGTAAAACAAAATGCCCAGGTTAAAAAAAACCCAGACAGTCCAGGAATTGGCTTCTTTACCAGTCCAGGAATTGGCAGCTTTGTTCGGGTGCCAGTAATTGATCCGTACCAAGATCTGATAGAAGACCTGATGCAGGCAGTGATGCGAAGGAAACTGGCACTATTTGGACACATCTGTAGGATTGGACAACAGGAACATTAAAAGTGTGTTCGGGGAAAAATGGAAGGAACCAGAAAGAGAGGAAGACCTAACAGAGAATGACTTGACGACACGAGAGAGATTGGTGCCAGAAAGTTGTGGCCACTACTTTAGCATATTGACAACAAAGCACAGGAAAGTGGAAACAAATGTCGAAATGTGCAGTGGATACCTATGCGCTATCTGTTTATGGATCGTGCTGATGATGAAGATGAAGATCTTGAACCGTATTGCTGTGTTCACCTTATCCGGGTTTGGTCTGCACTGTTGATAAGGTGGCAACCGTAGTCTGCACTCATCTCTGGTGGCAGTCCTGAACAAGCATTTGAAATTCCACATTATCCCCTTTTCAAAAAAGACATTTGACATTTGTGCTCAATATTCTTTAATCATGATAATAATTTATAATAATTTAGAACCCTATATCAATCCACTGCTGGACGATACCGGTTGAAGGCCTTTGTAATGGGGATTGTCACCATACTTCAAGCTGGTCAGGGGGGGGCACCACAAATTAAGATATTACTTTCTACGGATGTTGTTTGCCGTGGCCAGGAATCGAACTCGGGATGCTGAACACATAGTGCAGTGCGCTAACCATTGCACTGTGACTCCACCCCAGGGCAATAGGTATACGGTTATATTTAATATACGACTGTTGGTGATTGGATATGGGATAGGGCTAGCTCAAACCTCGTATAAGCCCATGACCAACATAATTAAAACCCCATTCATACATATAAGTCGATTTGCACAGTAGTCAAATAAGTGTTTTTTTTTCTCAAGTCTGGTTATTCATTATAAATCCCACTCCCCACACCCAGGCTCACAGGCAGTGGCCCTTATCTCCAGACGTCTAATCTCCTCCAGATAAGACACTCATTGCAGCTTTGATTCTCCAGGAATATAGTGGCAATTAAGATAGTGAATTCTTGTGAACTGGAGGAAAGACATGGACACTGAGCAAACAGAAGTGAGAGCAACCGAGAGAGAGAGTTTGAATTTAACTTTACTGTTGCCATGCCATCAGCACCAGCAGTTATTATGGACATCATCTGTTATTAACATCATCAGTAGCAGCAGGATCAACATCGTCATCTGCAGCACCACTACCGTTAGCAGCAGCAGTATTATCAATATCGTTTATCATCGTCATCAGCAGCAGGGTTAACATCATCAGCACCAGTAGCTGCTGGTGAATACACAAGCACGGGAATTGAAAAGCAGAAATCTCACTCGTGCATTTAGAGAGACCACCGTAAAACCATAAAAGTCCGCTTTACAATACGTCTTTTGATTTACAAACAGAGCGCCATAGGTGTTCACGGGTGGCTGGCTCATGGGTCTTCAATCGTCTCAACTGACGGGAGTCTTAAGGGCGGCGGCTACTTCTTAGTCCGGTGCTGGGTGAGGCCGAAATCGCCGGGAGATGGGAATTTCTGTCTCTGACCGTGCCCCCTATCGCCTCACCGTGCCGTGTGCCACATGCGAGCAGTAAGCGCGGGGTGGTGGTGCGACATGGCGGAGGCGGCGGTGGTGGAGGTGACGCGGCGGCGTGTACGCGACGCGCCTACACGAGTGAGGACGAGGCCTGGAAGAGCTACCTGGAGAACCCCCTGACGGCTGCCACCAAAGCCATGATGAGCATCAATGGGGACGAAGACAGCGTGGCCGCCCTTGGCCTGCTCTATGACTACTACAAGGTAGGGGTGCTTTTCAGATTGGGACGTTTTGGGAATCTCAGGTTTTTAAGGGCAATTCAATTTCCGGATGTTTTTTTATCCCGACTTTTGTTGACGTTATGGATGTAAAATTTTGATTTAAAGCACTGAGGTGACGTTATAAAAGCCACGTAATGTCCTATGACGTCATTTTAAAAAAATATCCGAAATACAAAACAAATTGAGTCTAGTTTTATATCTAGGCCCAATTTTCAGATTTTTTTGGGGCGGGCAATTGCAACTTTGTTTTTTTTGGGAGAGCCTGACCTTCAGTATAGAGAACAGCTCAGCGACCACTGCCTCACTGCCATCTGCAAGTCGCATATTTAGATACGAGCAAATACAAGAGAAGCCTGCACAACAGCAAACGGATAAGGTAAAGAGGGGGAGTGTGGATCGCAAGCAATTCATCGTCCATACATTTTGGCAAGCGGGACCCACAACTGCAGAGACGACCGCAGTAACGAGACGGCACCAAAGACACTGCCGAAACCAGCATGTAATGTACACAACACTCTATCTCTTTTTTTTTTCATGTAAAATTTCTTACTAATCACAAACCGAGAATATGACACCCGTGCGTGTACTCCCAGAGAATGAGATATGGCAATGCAGCTGCGTTTTATTTAAGATGAGAATGAATAATTGAGGGGCGGTTACTGAGACGTGTGGTGTCGGGGAGGGAGGGAGGTCCACCACGCTTTATTGTAAGTCACCACTGGGCCTGGCCTGACCGGGTCAGGGCCAAGTGTGTTTCTGGCTTCAGTGGCAGCGGAGTTGAGGTTGGAAGCGAACGTCCTCAACACTGGAGCGTGAGCGATGATGATGGCTATTATGATCATGATGGTGAATGATGATGGTGATAATGATTTGATGATCATGACGACGATGGTGCTGATCGTATTGTGAATGATGAAAACGGGAATTGGTGGCGGTGATGGTGGTGACGACAATTAATGATAGTGTTGATAATCATGATGACGATAGCTGATTATGGCGATGTGTGTTCTAGGTGCCGCGAGATAAACGTCTGCTACCAGGAAAGGGCTCTGAGAACGGAGACTTGGAGCCCAAACGGTGAGATGCCTCACTTCAACTACGAGGTGTATCGCCCTCACCCCTGCATTACCCAGAATGCCAGACTCAATGCTGGCCCTCTATATTACCCAGAATGCCACCTTATGCATTGTCCCCCCACGTCCAGTAACTGATTGCTGTCCCCCTTTACTGCTCCTTTGAACCCAGAATGTAGGGCTTAGTGCTGCCCCACTTAATTACCCATAATGCCACAGTGATGCTCCAATGTATTATTTGAGTGCTGCGCCTCTATATTATTCAGAATTCCGCACGGTAAAAGGGTGCAGAGTAGCATCCCTTTCATGACCTGCAATATCCAAATATTCTCTCACTGCCGCCCCCTCCCCCATTACTCGGAATACCTAACTGCCATCACTCTCTTCCCCCATCATTACCCACAATTATATCACCCCAGTCGCCTCTCTTTACGGGGCGCCAGGGCGAGATGTTAACTACCTGGCCTGGTATGCATGAGGTCGTGGGTTCGATCCCGACCCTAACGCCTGCTGCATATTTGGAGTTTGCATGTCTCTCTCCCCGTAGTCGCGTGGATTTTCCTCCAGGTCCTCCGGTCCTTCCCTCCACAATTATAAACATGCTGATAAGCCTCTTCGTTGAGCTATCATTTGTGGCCAGGTCGTTTCTGAAGAAGAGCTGTATGGCTCAGTGGGCCCTCACCCGGTAAAATAAAAATAGTTCGTAAAAAAAAAATACCCACAATTGCCCACTGCCGTCACCCCCTTTCCACCGCCGTTACCCAGAATGCGTCGCTCACCGCCCGTCCTACCTCCTCCCACCCCTCCCTCGGCAGACTTCTGACCGCAATGGGCACGAGCGACACGGGGGAGTTGCACCGTCTGGTGGGCGCCGGCATATCTGGGTCACAGGGCATGGGGGCCCAGCCGCCGGGCATCAAGACGGAAAAGGCCATCTCCTACAACGTGACGGTGGCACAGCCCTCCGTGCAGTTCTACGAGCGTGAGGAGCAGCGGCCCGCCGTTCTCTACGAGCGCACGCACATGACGTTCGACATCGACCACGGGGCCGGCGCCGTAGGGCCCGGGCCGGCGCCACCGCAGGTCACGCAGGCCCAGCCGGGCGTGGGGCATTACCTGAAGGAGAACGATGACCGGCGCTCACCTGACAACGGGTCCCTCGACCAGGGCCCCGTCCTCCAGGAGGTGCGTGCCCCCTTTTCGTGTAGTGTGCAGTGTGTGCGTGTGTGAGAGTCAACCCACGTGTGGGTTTTGTGATCCGTCAGTTAACCTATAAAATGCCTGCGTGGGTGTGTTAAGCTACGTGTGTGAGTTAACCCATAATGCCTGTGTGGGTGTGTTAGCCCATAACTCCTGTGTAGGTGTGTTAACCCATGTGTGTGAATGAACCCATAAGTTCACCCATAATGCTGGTGTCTTTTCTGTTACCTCCTACCAGAGAGGTTTCGCTTCACGTGGCGTCAATGTGCACCTAGCTTGACACAAGAGCTGTGGCGATATCACCGCCACTTAGTGGTGATTGGCGGCTGTTGATGCTGCTGACAACTTTCTTTATGTCTGCACTTGTGTGTCTCTCTGCTTGTGTGTGACACCTATCTTTGTGAGATACCTATTCATACACACGTGTGTGTGTGTGTGAAACTATGGACGATATAGTAAACCACCGTCATTCGCCACTCCTTCAACGGAGGAGGAACAGCAAAACTACACCAACTCTCTCCTGAAGCCTTCTCGCCGTGGCTGGAAGCAGACCTCGAAATTAGCATTTAGCTCCTGAAGAACGTTATTGCTTTCAGCATACACAAGAATAGAATGTGTGAAACCTGCTTGTGATACCTGTCTGCCTCTCCAATACCTGTCTATCTGAGACCTGTCTTCTGCTATGTCCCGCTTGTTTATCCCGCGGGTGTCTCTGCGTGCATCTCCCCGTGGTGTCCACAGGCGTACCACTTCAGCGAGCTGACCAAGTTCCGCGCTCAGCCAACAGACACGTCCGACTACGAGACAGCGTCTGGGTGAGACTCCCCCCGTGCGAGCAGTCTCGTCTCTATGTCCAAGTGCAGTGAGACAGAGATGAGGCCACCCATCCTGCCGGCATGTGTTGTCACACACATAAAGACCCCCCGTATAGTCTGAACAGACTGTAAGGATAAAGTGATGTTAGCGATTAACACCTATGAAGGCCGGTACGGCATATGAGGGGGGTGGGTGGCCAGCACCACCCCCGACCGCCTTTATCTCCCGAGTGGTGATGTTTACATACCACACCAGTTACTTATTTGAGGCCGAGTCGACCTAGGGGAGACCGAGGACGAGTTCAGATGATTGCCACTGGTGTTGACCGTGAGCGGAAATCGAACCCGGGTCGCCAAGTTCGTAGCGCAGCGCGCTTCCCGCTACACTCCATGCGCAGTGGGAGGATCTGCACTCGGAACCGTTTCGTTCCGTTAGTGCAATGCAAGTTCATTAATTCCTTTGTAATGTCATGTACGGCTGCCAATTCCGCGTTTCCTCCCATCGTAGCCAACAATGGTTTTTTTCCGAGCCATAGTAAAGCCATTAATCTCTTTGAACAACATTCTCATCTGACTTCATGGAACGGCTGGGTTACTGATCTGGCGAAGGAAGCATCGAAGAAGCTTGTTTTTCATTTCCGTGCCAAAGCCTCTTTAACTCTGAGTAATTATTACTGCTATACTAAGAACATGTTTGGCCAAAGTTGGAATACTGCTGTCATATCTGGGACGGAGCACAATGTTCTACTACGGTAAAACTTTTTTTTATTTAACCAGGTAAGGCCCACTAAGCTGTCTGGCTCTTTTTCAGAAATGACCTGATCACATTATAGCTCAACGAAGTGGCTTATCATGTGGAAATTTATAGCAGCCAATTACTCGAAGCGCATGTTTCTAAATGTAGAGGGAAAAACTGGAGGACCCGGAGAAAAATCCACGAGACCACGGGGAGAGAGACATGCAAACTCCAAATATACAGACATGAGGGTCAGGTTTAAACTCGCAACCTAGGTATTGAGCATCTCACCACTGTGGTATTCAACATTGAGCAATGCAAGCTTGGAATTACTGCTCGGAGACAAGGAGAGGAACACGTGGATCAATCAAAGGACAAATGCACGTCAGACATCAGATTGACGGTCCGGAAAATTACATGCTCTTGGGCAGGAAACATCGCTTAGAAGGGACTCTGGCAGTGAATGAGACTGGTCATGTAATGTCAGCTGAAGGAGAGACCCCGACGGGGAAGAGATGGACTGACGAGACCATTTCAAATGCAAGGGTGAGATGCATTGTGGCATTGCAGGATCCGTGAGCAATGGTGACGGCGTGGGGAGGCCTTCATCTAGCAGTCGATCAACCGTGGCTCATAAGGATGATGATGGCATATTTCTGCCTTAAGTGTAGCAGTGGTCATGCAAAAGCCAATGATGATGGCGTGCGGAGACCTTCACCCAGCAGTGGCTAGAACACTGGTGATGACGCGTACGTGTGCGTGCACGTGACAGGGAGTATTTCGAGTACACCCTGGAGGCGTCCAAGTCCCTTCGGCAGCGCCCGGGCGAGGGCCCGCTCACCTACCTCAACAAGGGCCAGTTCTACGCTATTTCCCTACGCGAGCTGGGAGCCAACAAGTGCCTCCGTCACCCCATGAGCAAAGTCCGGGTGAGTGCGCACGGTGCGGTGGAGCGACGGGGGGCACGGCGCGATGTGATTGGATGCGATGGGACGGCGATGCCACGCGATGCGGCACGACGAGAGGCTGCGCGGATTCAACGAGATGTCACATCGCCTTCTTCGTCGTCGTCGTCGTCGTACGGCTGATGTTGACGTAGAGCAACGGCTATAATAATTAACATTGATGGCGATTGACCCAGATGATTGCGTCAGGAGTAGCGGAGTCGTCCACCGTCGCTGTGACGATGCCGCCTTCGTGTTTGCGAATGGGGCTTTGAGTCGTCGTAAACTCCGTGGTTCTCCTTCTGGGTGGTGATGATCACAGTCGCAAACCGAAGAGTTTTTTTGTTTAATTTTCCGTTTGTGCTTCAGTGGATGCGGTTCGGGGGGTTGTGCCCAGAAGCTTCAAGTGCAGAGATTTAAGCCAGGGATCTCGTGCGTCGCCGGGCCTTTCGTGATGAGAAGGTGTTTGTTTGTGACTTCTAGTGAGACGTGACATGACGCTACATGATGTGACGTGAGGCAATGCACCCTGACGCGCGCGCACACACGTGTGCATCCGCGTTTATGCCCGGCTGTGCGCCCGTGTGTGTTGACGTACCCGTGCGTGCGTGCGTGCGTGTGTGCGCAGAGCGTGATCATGGTGGTGTTCGGGGAAGACAAAAGCCGCGAGGAGCAGCTCAAATACTGGAAGTACTGGCACTCACGGCAGCACACGGCCAAGCAGAGAGTCATCGACATCGGTGAGACCCCCACCGCCCACACACACATGGCCCACACACACAGCAGCGGCCAAACTGCATTTGCACATGTGGAGGTACCGATCATGTGACTGAAGTCCACACACTGCGATTACGGTACAGGAATTAGTAATACCAGAGCAGAAGACCATACCTCGGCTTCATGTGCAATGACACACTTGCATTACAATTGATTCTCATCCATGCAGTGTATATGCTTATACGTGAATTCAAATTGGTTATTTACAATCTATGTATGTTACATACGCCTGATATGCTGGTGATTAGGACATAGAGGCTGATTTCGTGAGAAAATCTGTGCAAATGTCGGAATAAATTGCACGAGAATCAATTCTGGTATTGAATCGCGACTTGGCGAACTACTGTGGGCTGTGAATCACTGCTTTTGTTTTAAATTATTGCAGATTAGCTCAGTGGCCATGATATATTTTCCACTGTGACGGTGAGACTCTTTTTTAGTTTTGGCGGGAAAACAGATGCTGTCACTTTGTGGCGGACATTTTTTAAATCTCTGCAGTGCTTGGGCGGTTGTGATTGGTTTTTTTTTTCACCGTTTACTGCAGAGGCCTACTCTGTCTTCCACCCTGGAAATGGATCACTGTGCGTGATTGGCTTTGGAATCACCTCATTGCTTGGAGCCTGATGCCTCAATCATTGTGGTCTATCTGCTGTATATGGGCCAAATACATTACCAATTTGGGCTCAAAATACATTACCACGAATTCCTTTTTTTAACACAAAAAGTGGTCTTTAAATGAAGAGCGAGTGTCTCGCATACAACAAAGATCGCCCCCATAGAGCCATCACAGACATTTGGGGCAAGTGCTGTGAGAGAGCACCTTTTAAAAAGGCCAACGCGGCACATGAGGGGGTGGTGTGGCTGTCGCCACTCCCGGCCGCCATCGTCTCTCCAGTGCTGATCTTCACAGATGGAACCACGTCATGCATTTAAGGCCGAGTGGACCTAGGAGAGGCCCAAAACCGGTTTAGACAATCGCCACCGATGTCGGCCCGTGAGCGGGAATGAAACTCGGGTGAGCGGGAATGAAACTCGGGTGAGCGGGAATGAAACTCGGGTGAGCGGGAATGAAACTCGGGTGAGCGGGAATGAAACTCGGGTGAGCGGGTTCGTTACGCGGAGCGCTAACCCGCTACGCTGCCGCTCCCCACATCAAATGCGCGCACATGCGTTCGGACAAGGAACAGGCGCAACGCACGAAAGCATGGGGGCGCACACGCATGATCTCGCCGTACGCCTAAATGCTCCCTTGTCTTTGTATGCGGGATCTGATTTCCATGGTTACCGGTGCAGGTTAAGTGTTTTGAATCCATGCTAGGATTTGCGTGGAGGTTGTGGTGGCGGTGGGGGTGGGAGAGGGCGGAGGGGAAGGACGCTCGCCGTCCGTGCCGCAAATGGCGATACCTTTTCAAGCCTCGGGTGTCCATTTCTTCTTTTGAACGCGCGCGCGCCCCCCCCCTTATCTGTGCTTGCACGGGGGGGGGGGGGGTGGGGGGCCGCGTTGCGAAGCCACCTTTTGTCGGGGCCCTCCCCGCCGCGTAGTCGTTGCCGTGCGATCACGTTTAGAGAGGCACGGCCAGGGAGCGGTGCGATTCTCCTCACGGGGTGGCGGCCGCGTTGCCGCCATTCTCACAAATGTCGGCTTTTGCAGGGGTGCGTATGCTAACTCGTTCAACAACAACAACAACACGAAGAAGAAGAAGAAGCAGCAGCCCCCCAAACACATCAACTCGAGTAAGAGAATCTTTCGGGTGAAATAGACAGCGGCAGAGAAACATGGAGAGACGTATTTGGCTGCGAGCCAGATACTCGTCTCGTTGTGTGAGCGCGGTGTGGAGTAAACATCGCCACGGGGGGAGACAAAGGCGGCCGGGCGTGCTGCTGGCCACCCCCCACCCACTCGTGTGCCGTGCCGGCCTTCATAGGTGCTCCTCGCTGACAGCAACTTGCCCCCAACAGTCTGTTAAGGCTACACGGGGGGGTTCTTTGTCTTTGGCACGGGGAGCGGTAGTGCAGTGATTTAGCGCGCTGCGCTACGAACCCGGCAGCCGGAGTTCGATTCTCGCTCACAGCCACCACCAGTGGCGATTATCTGAATCAGAACTGGACCTCCACCTAGGTCGACTCGGCCTCAAATGAGTACCTGGTGCGATGTGAAAACATCGCCAATAGCGAGACAAAGGCGATCGGGCGTGGCGCTGGCCACCCATACCATCATAGGTGCTGCTCGCTTAACAGCACTTGCCCTCAAAAGTCTGTTAAGGCTATACGGGGGATCTTCGTCTTTGTATGCGTGTCGTGCTTCGGGCCAAAAATACGAGCAGAGAAAATTCGCATCTGGAAATTGTGACAATTGCAAGAGACAATTTGCACGTAAAAAAGAAAACATTCCTCGGATAACAATTTGCACAGGGAAATTAAATTATGTTGACGTTTTTCTTTAGTTAACAGTCTGTCTGACCAGCAATAACTTCACAAGATAAAATCATCTCGTACATTTGGCTTTTGTTTGCTGAATTTGGCAAGGCCCTCCCGAGGGCCTTAATGTGATGACAATCGTAGGGCAGAATTTTCTTGATAACCATTGACACACCAACATGAATTCTGTAGCAGCATCATCATTATCATCACCGTCGTCAGCACCATCATCGTTACTTTCGTCAGCATCGTGAAGAATCCACATTGATCATCATCACCCCCCCCCCCCCCATCTTTGCCCATTTACACATTTAGCTGCCATTTATGATTTATCTATATGTCTGTTCGCTCATTGATAATTAACCGATGTGTACTTGTAGGAATAGCCCCACGCACAGAATGACAGCAACACTCATAATGCCTGCTGCAAAAACAGCAGGAAACAGACAGCGACCTCCTCTCTTTACCACCACCTATTACGAGCACCGGGTGGGTGCATCTCACAGATCCCATCTCGGCGTGATCTGCCAACCCCTAACCCTCCCTCCCCCCGCCATGTCACACCGGAAGATATTAATAATAATTGAGTGCAATTGGTATTCTCGCAATTCATACAGCATACGGCTATCACGAAGGAGGGAAGGCGCTCTGTGTCGCCAGACACGGTACGGAGGAGATGTGGCGCGATGTGGCGCGATGTGGCGCGGAGGGTGTGTGGGGGCCTCGCCGCTGTGTGTGGGCTCCGAGCCTCACTTCACCGTCCCGCATCTCCCCGGCCCGGGCAGAACCAGTTTGGCGGGGCCTGGAGCCAGTTTCTACCGGCGAACCGAGCCGTGCCGGCCAAACTTACCCGCATGTCGCGTGCATATTTGTGCACGCGAATCTTTCGTGCGAGTCTGACGATTATCTGAACCGTTCCTGGGCCTCTCCTAGGTCGACTCGGCCACAAATTAGTACCTGGCGCGATGTGTGGAAAACATCGTCACTTGGGAGACAAAGTCGGGCGGGCGCGATGCCGGCCACCCACTCTCTCGCGTGCCGTGCCGGCCTTCATAGGTGCTACTCGCTCACAGCACTTGCCCATACAGCATGTTAAGCCTCCATATTTGTCTTTGTACTCGTACTGTGCCTCAAACCTGGCGATCTGATTTTAAGTCCCTGCCCCGCTTACGTCAGTGAAAAGTGGTATCCGAACTTTTATCCTGGGCCTCTCCTCGGTTGACTCAGTCTTAACTGAGCACTGGTGAGACAAAGGTAGCCACGTGTGTACTGGCCACACCCCCACCCCCTTGTGCATCCTCCTCGTTCAATAGGTGCTCGCTACTATTGTTAACACAAAGACATTTAGATGATTTCATTAGTTTGTTTCTCAATCCGCTTGTCCTGGTGAGGGGTTGTGGCGGATGTGTGTTGAGTAGGGCGGTCCAGACCTCCCTTTCCCTGGCGACAGACTCCAGCACTACTACACTACTATACATTACTATACACTACACTATACACTGCTATACACAGACTCTAGCTCTTCCTGGGGAATTCCCAGGTGTTCCCAGGCCAGCCGAGCAACAGTCCAGCCAGCGTGCCCTGGACCGGTCCCAGGGTCTTTGCCCATTGTTAGATTAGTACATCATTCAATTGTTGATAAAAAAATATATAAATTCTAAATGTTTCATATCTGAAATTCATCTGTAATGTAGACACAGTATCGGTCATGCGTTGTATGGTGGCGAAAACAGTTTTCCTGCCGAGCTGCTGTGGAAACCCGCATTACGCGCGGGAAATTGCCGCGACATCTGTGGGCACTGCAACTTCCACGGACGTCAAATTGGGCCCTCGATTTTTTTTTTAAACGCTCATTAGAACGTTGCAGGACCCTCCTGAAAAAATGTCTTAAGACTCGGCGAGGCTTTCGTGGATAAAGTCCAACATACGATTTGACGTGTAATCATGCATGCCCACAGCAATATGGAATTTTCACCGCAGTGAACAGTAGGCGGGTAACAGACGACACACCTCTTCATCAATTAAAATGAGGCCTGGCGTCGTATGTAAAGTGGTCCCATTTTATACGCTTACGTTACATCTAGGTTAATGGGGGAAAAAACCCCAAAGCGCTAAAAACAGATGGAACAAACGAAAACAATACAAATGAGATGCTAAAAATGGGTAGAAGTATTCAAATGCTGAATTTAAATCGTGACCCCGATTCGGGACCCCGAATTGTGACAATTCATGGAACTGCTGGTGGGTAAGTTAAAATTATGATCGTTAGCATCGTCATCATTTGTTGCTTGATCTCGCGTATCACACAAATACAATAAACTCCTTTTAAAAAAAATAGTTTAAAACAACGGTTTTATTAACAGCTTCGTTTAACTCTGGGTCAATGACGCCTGAGACACGCGGCACCTGCTTTTTACGCGAACCGATTCAGCAGTTTAGGGACCGCGGCGTTTTTGACCTACACAAATATATATAAATAATAAGGCGTCCATACAAACTGTAAATTGCTTTAAAGTAGCGAATTAATTGATTAATTGATGCCGAT